TTTTTTGCTTTTCATTTCATTTGTCTGATGTATGAATTAATAGACATAATTTCTCAGTGTATCTTGTAGAGTATAATTTCAGTAATCACTAAAATTATATATATATTTAAAAATACTAATTTAAATTCCATCTTTTAAAACCTACTGGTGTTGTTTTTTTTTTTGCTTGTTTCTAACAGTTAATTTAATGGACCACCAGATGGTGCACTTTTGAAAGGCTTTGACTGACTTAAATTAACAGTCAAGTATCTTTGTATTCTAAATTGTAATATTGTAGTGAATGTGTTTCCTGGACATAGAACTTTACGTGGACAAAGTAGAATTGATGATGCCCTAGACTAGAGGAAGCCATTGGAAGGTATTTGAATGTGTAATTTTGTTATTCTTGTTATTAAAGGGATTTTAAGCACCCCACTGAGGCTATCAAATGATGTTTGAAGAGATGGAATGGTACATGCTAGAAAAAAACACAGCTGGCTGGAACCCAAAACAGGAATGAATATTGTGCTGGAATTGAAGTCTCCCCCAGGACTTTATAAATCCTTTCCCTGTATTCCAAATATCTCTTATGTTCCATCAGTGTCTTCATAATATGCTTTGGTCCCAACTGTATTAATATAATTTTCTTTCAGTTTTGAGCCAGGCTGTAGTTCTCACTTCCCAAGATTGCCACTGGATGCTTTTTAAAATTGAGGTCCAGTTTGGTCTAATGATTAAGACTCCCAGGCTAGAAACTGGGAGTCCAGAAGTTTTAATCTGTCTTCAGACATGAGAGCTAGCTGGATGACTTTGGGCCAATCACTCTCTCAGCCTAACTCATCACACAGAGTTTTTGTTGGGAAAATAGGAGGAAAGTATATTAGTATGTTTGCCATCTTGAGTTACATATAATAATAATAAAGGCATGATAAAAATAAATAAATAAAACCATCTATGCATTCACAATTGCAAAGTGGTGCGGTGGCCTAGAGGTGGAGCTCTTGCCTCACAATCAGGAGGCTGTGAGTTCGATCCCAGGCAGAGGCAGATATTTCTCTCGCGCGGCACAATGAGAATATATCTGCTGAATAAAACTCCGCATTGGTGACGGGAAGGGCATCCGGCCTGTAAACACTCTGCTAGTTCCATTCAGTTGCCCAGACTCCATCCCGCAAGGGATTATAGGGTTGTTAAAAGAAGAAGAAGATGATGATCTATGCATTCAAAATTGGGTGCTTGGTTTAAAACACCAGAGATATGATGACACCAAGCTTCCGCTACTGAGAATGGGAAGAGTCAGAAGCCATGATGAGGTAAGATTTCCTACGGTCAAAAAGCTTCCTTGCTCTCATGTTTTGTAGAGCTCCAACCCTTCTAAGGGAAACTGGATGCAGAGTGCTTCTTGGTAAACCATGGCCAAGTCCCAATGAAATTAACCCAATTAATTGGCAAAGAGAATCAAGACCATGAAACCAGTTCTGGGACTTGCTCTCTTCCTCGCTCAAAGCAGTGACACAAAACGTGGCATTTTATCTTCTAAGTGATAGAACAATTCAGGCTTGCTTCAAATTGAAAACTATTCATATTTGGAAGTTCATAGGTTTTAGTGCAGTATTTTTAATGGTCACTTGAGAGATGGAGATGGTATCACTAAAGAGATGCCTATTTATACAGTCCATGTAGTCTCAATCAGTCCAAAAGCCTTGGTGGTCTCCTAGGTTGGGTATCATGGCCAGAGTGTGACTGGTCCAAAAAATTGGTTTGGTTTCTAATTGTCACTTTCCTGAAGACATTTTCTGCAGGAGCTCCTCTTTATGGAAAATCCCCTCCCAACAGATAGAAGATTTGTGCTCCTGCTCCGTGTGGAAGCTTTTGAAAATGTGGCTTCAGGAACTTAGAAGTGAATAGTCAGAAGATGCCAGGATGTAGCCATAGATTCTGATGCTAAACTTTGCTAGGATGACAAATTGTTATGGCTTACAATTATTATGTTGGATTTTGATTATCTGAGTATTATATTATTAATATACTATTTTATTGCTTGTGAATTGCCAAGAGTTGAAATAATTGAAACAACATAAAAGCATTTATAATAAATAATGAATAACATCTCCCGAGAATATTTTCAAAATCAGTAGATCAACATTTGTCTTAAGCAATAAAGCCGTAAATGTCAAAGCTCTTATTTTAATCATACCGCATATTATAATGTTGACGTTATAAAATGTCTATCAGATGATATCAGACATTTTCTGCAAAAAGCAAAAACCCATTTATTATGGCAAAAAAGCTTTTATGAATTGCAGTCCTCTTCACTGGATTCTGGATTCACTGAACTCTGGAGAGTTGATAAAGGCCTAGATGACATACTGTACGTATATGTTAATATGTTGGCTGATTACAGCCACTGTAATTTGAAAACCATGTTTCATGGCTTATATAGTTTAGTAATAGTTTATGTAATAAAGCAGGACTTTAAATGCACGGGCCCAGGGGTGCAAATGTGAGCATACGCACACACACAGAACTTTCGATTTCTGACTATCAGCTATGATGCACAATTTAAATTAGCTAGAAAGCAGGAAATCCGATGATTCTAACTCATATAAATCATGCGTCACAGCTGATCGTTAGAAATAATGGTTCTTCTGAACTGGTAGCATTTTTTTACTACTGGTTTGGGCAAACTGGTAGCATTTTTACTGCCGGTTTGGGCGAACTGGTCCGAACCAGTAGCATTTCACCCCTGCACGGGTCTATTCTAGGTTGGCACGAGGTATTATAAGAGAGCAAAATTGAATGTTGGAACCACTGACTGGTATAACTACCTATATAATGGTTAGTCCGACTTGATAAAAAGTGTCTATGAAAGAGACCTAAAACAAGATGGATTGACAACATCAGCAAGTCTTGCATGCCTAATCAGCAAGGACCGTGTAGGTTGGAAACATGCGGAAAAAGCCTTCATCCTGCAATGGATAGACAACTGCTAAAATTATGATGATGGTGGTTAGTCACACAATAAAATCATGGCACAGACATTCTCATATGAACAGCCTAATTAACAAAGCCCATGTGACCACAGTACAGGGCCACATATATGTCAATCATATTTTAATATGCAAGTTGTAAGATTGAAGAATCTTGAGGAAATATAGGAGTGTGGGATTTTAAAAAAATAACTGAAGAGTGCAGCCATGAAAGCTTGATTAATTCTTGTTCCAGCTTTTGCTCTAAGACTTCTTCCTTTCTGAAACCAGATTTGATTTGGAGACGAAGAGAATTCTGTCTTTGTACAACCAATAGTGGGAATGGTGGGAAATAAAGCGAGAGTTTGGTGTTATGTGTGGGGTTGTTCTTTTGTTATTAAAAAACTTTATTCATCTAAAAGGAAGATGATCTTGGATTCATGAAACAAACAGGAGAGAGAAGGGGAGGGAACTGAGGCAAGAGAAGCACAGCAGAAAAAAAAATGCCTGAAGTTACATTGAAAAATGAAGAGATGAGATCAGAGCAATGTCCATTAAATTATTGTTCAATTGTAGAAATGTATTAAACCCAGTGGAGGATGAAATCACAACTGTTTTATGTATTTAAGATTTCTACGGATATACACTTAACATCATACTAGTCTGTAATGGATTTTTATTTATTTATTTTGCAGGTGCTCCTTGGATTTATATATGACATTTTCACCTTTTTGAATTCCTTTTTCTTGCCAGTTCTGATGGGACTTATCTCCACTTAACCAATATTGATTGATCAGTTCAGAACATTTTTTCCCTTTCTTCTTCCAGAATTGTGGAATCACATACAGTTTATTACGTATACAGGATACCCCCAAAGTCTCAGTTAGTTTATGTGGTCTAATGTGAGTACACAGATGTATAGAAGGAAACAACACTGAGGTTATATATTTTGAGCTCAGTTTTAATAATACAGCATAGATACATTCATGTCACTTTGAAATTTGGAACCCAAAGCTGGCATGTGAATCAGATGCAGTGAAATCCTTAAGCCATTTTTTATTATACTGTTTTTTTCTATAGATATACCATTTTCCCAAAAATAAGACCTCCCCAGATAATAAGCCCAATTGGACTTCTGAGCACACACACTAAAATAAGCCCTCCCCAAAAATAAGCCCTTCCCAAAAATATTGTAATACAGCAGCAGCCATGAGGTGACCATGCTCACCATCTCCTGCACCTCACAAATAATAAGACCTCCCCGAAAATAAGGCCAAGTGCTTATTTTGGGGGTCAAAAGAAAATAAGACCCTATCTTATTTTCGGGAAAACATGGTATTAATACATTGCTGAATTTTAGTGGATTTTCCAGGACATATGGAGTTTTTATATACATATATGTATGTATGTATGTGTGTGTGTGTGTATATATGTATATGTATGTGTATGTGTATGTATGTATATTCAACTCTTGCTGGCTGGTCAGTACAATCTTACATCTATGGCACTGGCCAAATTCTGCTTTGTTGCTAAGAACTAAAGTCAAATTTTGATTCAGGAACAGCCCCTGGGTAAAATATTTAATTGCTTCCTATCTTTTCTTTTAAACAATAATGCAAAACCATGTTGTTGTTTCATTTGTGTCTCTTTCTGTATTTTATTTATTCATTAATTCTTTTATTCATTGATTCAACATATCTCACATGTGTTACTCTGTGGTCTGTGTACATAATGTAAAGGTTTTGGTGTTTTTTTTTTAAATTCAGAAAGAGGTTGCTTTGTAATAGACAGTTGTGAAAGGCCCAAGATCTCTGATAATATTATCACACTCAGAGTTGGGGCCGAGAAGGGTGACAGAGTCAGAGAGATTGTTGTGAAGTTCCTTTTAATATATTTTGGGAAAGGAGAAGTGATATTTATTCCCTAGAAGTTGTTAGATGACCTTTCTTAAATCTTGAAAATGGGTCAAAACTAGTTCTGCTTGCCTTTCTTCCAAGATGCTTTGGGGATCTGAATACGAGAAGGATGAAAAGATGCCTCTTTTAACCTAGTCGGTGGGGCAGAAGGAACTGACTTTCAACTCAGTATATTAGAAAAGGTTACAGGTGCCTTTCTCAGGAGATAGGATGAAAACAGTAGTCTCTTTGATTTGATTCTTTTGATCTGTGACCCTCCAAATGTTATATTTCAATGACCAGTGCCACTGGCTGTTTACGGTGGCAACAGCATTTGTAGTGTTATAACATCATGCCATAAGCTTCCCATGCATGTGACATCACAATGCACCTAGAAAAGAGTTGGGCTCATGTTGCCAGTGGTGTTGAAGGTCTACAACCTTTGGAGATCCATTGTTTTCCACTCCTGGGGTGGGGGAAGAAAAAAAAAGATTCATCACCCTTGTCAAAGCTTATACAATGAGTTAAGGTTTCTATCATGAGTATGGATCCACTGACATTTCTCTTTTTAATGTTGCCATAGTATTGCTTCATCACCATAGCAATCGCTTTTTGGGTTTCGTACATGTCCTTTAATCATACTTAATTCTTCCCCATCGTAACGTCCTCTGATCTAATTTCCTTGGCTTTAACTATGGTTGAGCATATTGGCATGATGTTTAGCATTGTTAGTCAGAATTTTGAAATCTTTTTCAAAACTGATTTAATATTACACCACAATTATAATACAACACGCTAAAGCTCAGAAAATGTTATTTGTGCAGTAATCTTATGGGGCAGAATAACCTGTAAGTGATATACATGCACCAAACAATTCTTACTCTGCAGAACTTTTTTTTTTTTTTTT